ATCATCCAGCACATACATGTATCCAACAGCAATGTTCGCAGACTCACGAACACTCGTCAGAAAATTTGGGAGCTTTCCCCACCCCGAAACTAATGCCAATAATGTCTTCTAAAAAATGAAAGGACAACTAGACTACAAGCAGTACAGCCTTCGAGCGCTAGGAGGTGAAATTCGCGTCAACCATATAGTCTATGGCGTCGAAACCGGCGCCTGAACCTCTCCCATGTCAAGGAAAACACCTGCTTGCCCTGGCACTTGGAAAATCAACCCCTCCATCTTCGAGAAGGGGCATTCCCTCTTTCCAAAGGAAGTGTTCGAGAAGGGGCATTCCCTCTTTCCAAAGGAAGTGTGTCCTCGAAACAGCAACACTAAATAAACCCTGAGATCGCTTTGGCCTTCCTCGAGATGTATGTTCATTCGGAAAACACACGTTAGTCTAGACCACGGGATTTGATTTGTAGCCAGTGTCAACGAACGGTATTGCGGAGTAATTTCCAGAGGAAGTGCGGGAGCTGTAACTCCCGATGAAAGGATAAAACAGGGGACAGGAATTTTTGGCTCTACGATCGCTACGCGTGTAATCCCACAACACGCAAGTACATTATATTTTCATTGGTCAGACGACAGCGCGGCCAAATCCAATCGGTACCTGATGATGAGCGCATACACTTTTTTCACGGGGCACAGGAATGAAAAAATGAATTCCCTTCAAAACACAAAATCGCAAAAAAAGGGGCCCTCGGGGTGCGAAAGTGCTACAACCTCCATTTCTCAGAGGAGCAATTGGCAGGTGTGCAATGTTAATCATGATCTCCATGATAATTGCGAAAGCCCGTCGACTCAATGGAGTCGCTGAGGTTTGAGATTCTCCGTTCTCGTCATCAACGTCTCGTTTCCGAAAACAAAACTTGTGTCGTTGTGATGCAGCTCGCTGGGGCGCCTCCAGAAATTCCGATGGACCTCACCCTCGCAATCCTCGTCCCCTCCGCCCCACCCCCTCGGTGTTTGCCATCGGGATTGGGTTTTCGTTGCTTGGCAACGACGTTGTATAGCAAGCCAATTTACTTCGTGAACTCGGCAACCAGGTTACCGTTTCTTTTTTTCTTTTTTGGCGGTAACCATAATGGTGGTCGAGTAGATCATGTTGTGCGGGGTGGAGGACCCTCACTCCGCGCAAGGGGGATGATCGCACCACGTTGTGTTAAAATGGTCAAGCACCCTCGAGGCAGTTACAAAGTGCTAACAACTGTCTCAGGAAGTGAAAGTACCAGAAAAAAAATTAAGTCATATGCAGCTGTCATCCGTATGGGAGGGAGTAGGCACAAGATGTCGAACACCCTTAGCAGGATGCAGCTCACCCTTCATGCGACTCGCCGAATATCTCACGGCGCTTCGCGCTTGGTGATGTGAGAGCCTGGTCCGGTGAGAATCAGCGTGCTCCGTCCTCGGCTTTGTAGGGATGCGAGGTCAATGGTCTAACGACTACGGCATGCACGACAATGACTACCCCCCCCCCCCCCTCCGTCGCCTGTTCTCCTCTGCCTTCTCTTGAACCTATACAGGCGGCTGGTAGAGAGAACACAGCGCAGGTAGGTGCTTTTGCGCATCGAACCTGTGGTGGGCAGAGACGGCCGTAGTACGATCGGGTGTTGTAGACGGGTTTCGAGGGGCGATATTCTCGGGTAAGTTGTGCCCAGGTGAGGATGAGGGGGTCGCGCGTAAGCACAGCAGTTCAGAAGGTCTCGCGTGTTTTGCTCCCTACAGGACAAGAAGCGCGCCGTCTTCGACTGGTCCTCATTGCTAAGCGAAACTCATGAAGACTCCAGGGTTGTAGCACTCTCGTACACGTACAACCACCGGCTGAGCCTCGGCTGCAGTACTATGTGAAAAGGGCGAAGAACACGGGTTGTGGCGCACTGAAGTACGCAGGTTGGACACATGTATGGCAGAGACCCATCAACTCAGAGTGTGGAAGCCCCCGACCCTTTGGTACTAAACAAACTGCCTCATCTAGTCGATATTGTACGCCTACCGTGCGATTATTTTCGTTCCGCTACCAATCGGGAAAATGCGTGTCACCTTCCCTCTCCTTCGTGTTGTTACACCCGCGTATGCCTACAAACCTCGCCCTTATTGTCTTTGCGATCATTCAATGAACTTAGCACCAGGTAAAGAAGATTTCGCTGACAACATTTCCAGGGAATTCGCTGAGGTGCTGGTTCTCCGTCGCCGTCTTCGCCGTCAATAACTCCCTCCTCGCCCTCCCATGATGCCTCCATCTCGCCGTCTCCCCCACGGCGGCGGGGCAGGAGCTGCCACCCTCCCGAACCTGACAGGGTAGCCGCTTAACTTGAACTGACCGGTCAATTGGAAGCCTGCAGCAGTGTCTGAGGGGGGGGGTTGATCCGAGTGTTGCTGCTGTGTTGCTGCTGGAGCCAGATGTTTGCACAGCAAACTGAGGTGAGCAAGATGTTTCGCCCCAGACTCACGGCCACCCAGCCAATAATGAAGCAAATGGGCGGTTTTGGGGGTGGTCGTGCGCTCCCACCGCTTCCTCCGTGCCTAAAGCCACGGTATTTGTCGCCCGCCAAACCAAGAGAAGTTTACTGATATTACTGATAAGTGGAGATTGCCTGCCAACGTTTAGAAGAGTGCCGTCGTGGTATGCAACGAGAACAAGGAGGAACCACTTGAATATAGATGGAAGTGGAGGATCGAGGAGATTGCAGTAGTGGACCAGTACACGTACCTCGGAGTAGAGATCGCATAAGACTGCTCGTGGAATGCACACATGTCCAAGGTAGCGGAAAAGGGCAAAGCACGAGCAGGGAAGCTGCACCCAATACTCGCAAACCGGCACCTCGATACACGCATCAAATTGACGGTTTTGAAGAGCGTAATCGTACCGCCGCTAGAGTACGCCGGAGAAGTATGGGAAGGAAATAAGAAGGTAGTGAAAGAACTCGAGGCGGCGCAGATGAAAGCAGCGAAAATCATCCTAGGATGCTCCAAGCGCACAAGTAATGCAGCCGTGAGGGCAGAATTGGGGATCCAATCCCTACGGTCGGGAAGAGACGCGAGGAAGCTGACATGGCAGTATCGCATGTGTGGGATGGGAGAGGAGAGGTTGCCGAGAATTGTATGGGAGGCGAAGTGGGCAAACCAAAAGCGGGGTAGACAACCCACAGAATGGGTCAAGGTTGTAGAGGACGTATGTAAGGGGCTCGACATCGACGAAGATGAAACGCTGGAAACGGAGGGTCTACAGGGGTTCAAGGAGAAGATATATGTTGCTTGTGCCGAGAGAGAAGAACAGAATCTGAGGAAAGAATCCAAGGATAAGGAGGGTCTACAAGTGAACGGAATGTTGAAGGAAGCAATAGGGTTCAAGCACTACCTACGTGGA